AGATGAATCTTAACAGCACATAACAAGTGAGTAGGAATACAGAAACAATGAGACTTGCCATGAATTGATAATGTTGAAGATAGGTAATGGAGGTTCATTCATATTAAATTTTTTAATGTCTGAACCTTTTCTTAAAAAGAAAACCATCTCCTGACCACCTAGTTTAGGCCCTATCATAGGCTCATTATAATCACCATTTTAACTATAGGCATTGTCTGTGTTCCACCCTAGAGTATAAACTTGATAGCACGGACCCAGTCTATCTTGGTCATAATTTTAACTCCAGAGCTTAAAAGTGCCTGGCATATAGTTCACAATGAAACTATCAAGTTTCCTCATGTATGAGATTCCAGATTGTAAAATATATTTTTATGTGCCATTAAGAAAAACTATGACATAATTTTACCAATTTTTAAAAGTATCTTGATTTCAGAAATGCTACAATGTGAATAACATGTTCATTTTAGAATTGATGAAATAGGGTATCTGTAGAATAAATGACTTCTCTGAAATAATGTGAGGTAAAGATTATGGTGAAGATGCCTTCCAACATGTTAAAGAGGTGATGGGGGCATATTTTTGAGGCTACCAATTACCTATTTTACAGTGAGTATGTCCTCTCAAATATTGAAAATTTATGTCCAAGTTTATAGATTACTGTTACAAATCTGGAGTGACTGGCATAGTGCTTAAGACATGTGACTGCTAACCAGAAAGTTGGCAGTTCCAACCCACCAGCCACTCTGTGGAAGGAAGACTGGGCAATCTACTCCTATATAGATTTACTGCCTCAGAAACCCAAAGGGGGTCACTATGAGTCAGAATGAACTTGATGGCCGTGAGTTTGGTTACAGATCTTAATAGAAAATGCAACATTCTGACATGATGATCTTCAATCTTTTCACCCTCCCCAAGGTCTTCCTATTTTGTAACGATTTCATTTAAGCTATTATTTTTTCACCTTCCATCAATTAAACATGTAATCTTAAGACTGAGGTACTATAACTTCAGTTAAAAAGAAAAACAAAAACAGAAACACCAAAATCTTGACCTTTTACCTAGTCTGTATAGACTAGCTACAGGGAAATATAACATTTCCACTAGGAAATTACCATTCAACCACCAGTGCTACTTTCTCAGAGCCTAAAGACCTGCAGACTCTGGATAGCGGCCTCTATTAAATCAAAAAAGGGCATTTAGTCAGTCCATGTTATGTTATTAGGAGTTAGACCATTTGCTTACACAATTCTCCAACAGCAGATATTGTGCAGGGAGTTCAATTGTGCTGAATTAACACTGTGCAGGGTTCTGTTCAAGTTTCTAAATTGTGAGCATAAAAATTCAATTGGTTCTTCTGGGTTGAACTAGAACAAAGCAGTGAAAAGAAAATGCTATTTGTGGGTTATAGAGCTCAGTGCAGGGGTCATTCACCTATACATCCCCTGAGCAGAGTTAAGCGAGTGGGCCAGGTAGGCACTCCCAAGTGTCTGACTATATGAAAGAGAAGGACAGTGGCTCTTACTGTAGTTGCTTTAGACACTAAAGGCTAAACAGCGGTCCTCAGAACCTTTAGGATATTTTCTGTCTCTGATTCAAGCACTCGAGAAGATGAAAATTAGGAAGAGGGAGTGAACACCAGGAAGACCATAGGACCTCAGGAACCTGGGAGGGAAGAAACACTAATGCAGGCAGAATTCTCTTTACTTTCAGAAAGTTCTTTGTACCAGTGACTGTCTCTACATGTCAGCCTAAAATCTAATGGGGAATAATAAATCCACATGCAAAAACTTTCACCTCCCTAAGAAAAACTCTGAAGTTTTAAATTAAGACCATGTACAGGAAATCTCAAGTGAAAATGGTATTATAGTTTGACAAGAAAAAGAGGTAGTGACAAGGAGATCAGCATTTCTTTATTTGCTTCCTACAAAAATTATGTAAATATAAGACAGACTTCTCCTTATCTCCAAATTCAAAATCATTATGACATATGTTTAAAATAAACAGGAAAAATAAAAGCAAGTATCAGATGAACACACAGTTTTGGTTGTCTTGATCTGTCTGGTAAACTTTTCACTCTAAAGGCTTAGTGGGGGGGGGGTGTCTGTTGAAATGGGACTAAGGACATTGCCACTGGAAAGGAAAACAGCAGTCATTCAGTGATTTTAGAAGTTTTAGTAAATATCACATTGTGACACACCCCTTCCCTTCAAAAAAGCAAAGTATTAAATATTCTGAGCTCAAGCTCCAGCAATGGCAGTCTCCCTGCTCCCTCTAGCCACAAGGTTGGGGTATTATCCACAGGCCTGAGAGAAGGAAGAACAGGTCCTCTAAATCATAAAGTGGATGCACTTGATTCAGGCCTTCTTGTATCAGAAAAAAGCCATGAAAACACAATCCAGAGAAGAGGTGACAATCTATGCAACTGCCTCTCTTCCTGTTGAGGACATTTTCCAGAATGTTGTTGTTCAGTGCTATCGAGTCATCTCTGACTCATAGTGACCTTACATATACAGAATGAAATAATGCCTGGTCCTGTGCCAGCCCCACGATCCTTGCTATACCTGAGCCCATCATTGTATTCACTGTGTCAATCCATCTTGTTGAAGGCCTTCCCCTTTTTCATTAACCCTCCACTTTACTAAGCATGAGATCAATCTCCAGGGAATGATCCCTTTTGACATGACCAATGTAGGTGAGATGAAGTCTGGCCATTCTCTCTTCCAAGGAGCATTCCGGCTGCACTTCTTCCAAGACAGATCTGGTACTTTCAGTATTCTTCGCCAATACCACAACTCAAAAGCACCAATTCTTGTTCAGTCTTCCTCATTGTCCAGCTCGCACATGCATATGAGGTGATTGAAAATACCATGGCTTGGGTTAGGTGCACCTTTGTCTTCAAAGAGACATCTTTGCTTTTTAGCACTTGAAAGAAGTCTTTTGCAGATTTGCCCAATGCAGTATGTCTGATGTCTTGACTGCTGCTTTCATTGGTGTTGACTGTAGAACCAAGTAGTATGAAGTCTTTGACAACTTCAATCTTTTCTCCATTTATTGTGATGCTGCTTACTGGTCTAGTTGTTTTCAAGAATACAGCCAAACTAATTCTTTGTCCTAATATATTTTTGGAGTGGGACAACTTAATCAATATTGGTTTCTAAAGCAATATATATTGGTACGAAGCACCTGGTATAGTAATCATGGAGCTTGGTTAGAGCTCCTTTTCAATCTATCTTTTAAATATCAATTTGGGTATGCCTGTCATAAATGTCACTTTAGTCAATGAGAACAGAGATTAATCTCTCAAGCACAATTTAATGTACTCTGTTGATAACTATTTACTCATGGTGAAGAATAAGCTATACAAGGAACTTGGTAAAGAACAGGAAGTCAGGCAAAGCCTTTCCTCTATCAAATCCTGAGAAAGATGACGGTTAAGTTCCTTTTCATAATGAGCTCCTAGAGGCTGAGCTGGTGTGCCCTAACCTTGAAGCATATGTTAGTTCATTTGAAAAAGGGTAAAATATGTAAAACAACTAGCATATAACCTAACGTACAAAGGTGTCCACAAATGTTTCCTGGTCAACTATAATAATAGTTGACATTTACAGAGCACCAACTATGTGACAGACCCTGTGTTCAGTGCTTTATACAGGTATCTCCTAGTAGGTGCTAGTAGCTCATTTTTGAGATAGTTAACTAAGGTTCTGGAATTCAGATTATTTAGACGAGATCAAAATGTTAGCCAGGTTAGCATTTGAACCCAACTTGTCTGATTTAAATTCCCATCTCTTTCCAGTACTCCACATTGTTTCCTGAAACTGTTATTGTACATTTGCTTGAGGTACAGAGTGAAAAGTAAGTAAGTTATATTAAAAACCTAAGAATTTGAAATAAAAAATGTCCTTTCATGCCTTGGTAGATTAAAGAAGGGAGAGGTAAACAAAATGAAATAAAACAGTAAAGCTCAAATGAAAGAGAATAAAAACATGCTGTTAAGATCTCAGAGTAATATGAATGTTATGTCTGATTTTCCCTCCCCCAGGGATATTTAAAGAGAAACTTACCGTTTTCTCTCTATATTCCTCAAGGATAGACCTTAGCTCCCTTCATGTTCTACCTGCTTAAGCAGCCCCCAGAATGCACTGGGTTAAAGAATTAGGTTGTGTTCTTGGAAACCCCTCAACAGCAAGAGAAGCAGCTAGGTAGACTGCTTTGGTCAGTCTTTCCATCTTGGTCAGTTTCCAAAAGTAGTATGAAGAAAAACTGATCACTACCCCTATTCAGCATCAAGAGGCAAGTCTTAGTGTCTGTGTTCTGGAATAGTAGGCTGGGTGATCTTCTTACCTGGATTTGATGATTTCTTTACCACATGAATCATTTTACACTGTTTGTTTTAAAGAAATGTCCATTTAGTCTTGAGACTCGATAGAGAAAAAGAATATAGGAATGGAAAAACTAAAGAAAAGAAATATAACCATGAAAGCATAGAATGGGTAGGGAAGGAAAGAGAAGATTTTAGTGCCGGCAGAAACATAGACTCCTTGTGCTTTGGAAGATGATTAAAAATCTTAGTTTCTATTGTAAAGAACTTGTTAATGACAAGTGACTGTCTTCAAGTGCCAAATCCCTTTATCCTCTCAATCTCTACACAAACAAAAAAAGCTACAGATACTGGCCAAGGCCCTGTTATTCCCTGCCAATACTGATAACAGGAGGCTGGACTATCTATCAAAGCTCTTTATTAATAGGATTTGACTCCTTTAGCTCTTCCTGACTGTTTACTGGAAACCAGAATGTCAATACTATGTATGTTTAGGATTATTCTGGAAATCTGAATAAGTGCTTTTGTGATTAAACTCTATTCTCAACTGACACGGAATTAGTGTTGGCTTTCACTTTAACCTCTGAAAAGACATTGATGTTTGTTGCCAGTTTTAAATGAACACAACTGTGAATAAAGGTTTTTAACAGAGCCCCTGATAAAGCCTAAAACTAATCATTTTTCCATCACTCCAGTTTTATTCGCTTACATGTAGACACATTTAAAGAACATGTATTCATATATATAAAATATAGGCGATATGGGAGTTTCTGAAAAATGATTTGTTAATAAAAATTTATTAATTCTATAACCTTTCAATACCAGAGAAATGTTAATATGTACAAATCAAGCATGAAGTTCCCAGTTCCCACACTTTGGTTATAAGAATATGCTTCAAGCACCACAGAGCAAACATTAATCCTAATTTAAAAAGGAAAGAAAAATAATCCCAAGTTACCAAAAAATCCTTCAACTCTCTTGAACCTATTTTCTTTACATGATATGGAGAAGACTCTCTTTTGTTCTATGTATTTTTCCATTTTGGTCAGTTTCCAAAAGTAGGATCAAGAAAAATTGATCAGAGGGGAAAAAGGACAAACCAACCATTGCAGGTAAAGTCTCAAAAGAACTATTTCTGGAAATTCTTCTTTGTAAAATAAAAAATTGTTTTAATCTTTTAGACTGCATTATGCAACAGGTGTAAAAAATTGAAAGGAAAAAAAAAAAAGCCCAATCCTTAATTTTCAAAATTCAAAAATTCAAACAATGCAATCACAACAAAAGTTGGGGTAAAAGGCTCACAGGGTAATCCTCATCCTCAGCAAACTCAGTTAAAGAGCTTCTTGGATTTCAACTCTATTCCTTGGAACCACTGCATCTGCTAATTGTAGAGGCAACTGGTATAACATATAGGTATCACAGAGAGACTTGAAGAGACTAAGCACAGTCTTCCATGTGATTTCACATGAGCTGTGATGGGCAAAAGAAAGTAAAATTAAAGAAGGAAGACTGAAATAGAAAAAAATGGAAATAAAACGTATCTAAGTCCCTGTATGTCAGGATGGAAGGGGCTTCATCATACAAACTGAAAAGCCCATGTATGCAGAAGGGATTACATCCATACTACAAATGTGGATTATATACACATTTATATTAAGTTAAATCAGTTCATATATTACACCTGACAATTCAAACAGAACATTTCTAGTGAGAGGCGGAAAGTTCCCTTGCAATTTAGGTTCCTGTCCTTTTCCCAGGCTGGTTGGTGGTCTCTGCACAGGACTCAACAGCATGGTATATGAATGGATAAAGTTTGATATCTGGTCCAGGGGTAGAACAGTTTCTGCATTCTTCATTGTAGTATCGCAGCAACAGCTTATATACTTCTCCTGGAGAGGTAAACCAATTTGCAAATTAAGGTATATAGATGGAAAAAGCTTCAATAAAATACTCCAGTTTTATTTATTTATTTGAGCATATGCTCAAATTTTGGTTTTGAAAATACAGCATGAATTTACTATGCTTGGAAGGATTTTCTGACATGAAGCTAAATATTTTAAAAACATTTCTAAAAAGCTATTTAACAGCTCATAATTAGAACAGGCCAGATGTGGTGCCTTGCCCTGTTCTGGGAGTTCATGGCAACCCTAAAGACACATTCAGTTCCCAAGGCAGAAGCACCTTTGAAGTCCAGCTGAAACACACTGGGCATATCTGGTAAGTATGAGTCAGAGTGGGGCCTGTTAAGTTTAAATTTACCCTTACTGTCTTCTTTTTGTTTTTGGTACACACCAAAGTAGATACTCCAGCTTCTTTGCCTTATTTTAATAAGCTGACATACTCATTCAATATTGCAGATGAAGCTTTGGGAGAGTGAGAGTAGAGAAACAGGACTCTGCAGATGTTTACCCTCCCGAAACTTTGCCCTCCTCTCTGAGAGTCATGATTCCCATTTCTTCCAGTCTATCCAGAAAGAGATTTACCAAGTGCTCCTTCTGCATAGTACACAATCCATCTAGATAGCAAGTGTCAGGATGATCTCCTACTTACCAACAGTCAGTTTCCTCTCAGTGAGGAAAGTGTGCATGCTGTAAATGTCTCTCATCAATTCTGAGTCCCCAAAGGTGAAATAAACCACATCTCGTTCAGCTGCAGCAGCTGCCAGTATCTGTATTAAGGCTGTGGCAAAGAGGAAAGACAAAGCTGGATATGATACTTGCCATCAAGATACATTTAGCTCTTTCCTGGTGTGCCACAGCTTTATCCTGCATTCAAGATTGATACACCCAATATACATGTTATTAGAAATGGCAAACACAGAAGGGGCATAAATCATCCAGTCGTGTGACTTTTCAGATATGCCACAGAAAATATCATTAAACTATGGAAAATTTTTCTGGGTTACATATCATGTACTTTTTCTGGGTTACATATCAAGGAAGGTGCATTTGAACACAATACTACTAATGTCTTACTTTTTTCACTTATACTAATCAGGAACTAAATTTTTGGTTTACTCATTCGATTTTTTAAAATTATTTTGTCTTATTACATAGGTACTAGTCTTCTGTATTACAGGAGCTCCCTGATCTCCCTTGACAGATGTACTTCAGACGTTCTTATGCTCTCATACATCCTACAGGTTCACTTTCAAAACTTTCACACCTTCATCCCCCTTGTACTCCCACCTCTACCTGAATCACTGCAGCAGTCAGTGTTACTAAGGATGCTATACAGTAACTCCCTGGCATGCTGGAATGGAAAAACTATTGAGATCATTGTCTACAGAAATCAAAGTCACAAATCACTGAGTCTGAAGTATGTTTCCAAAAATTAAGATCTTTTACACTCTTAATCTCAATATACAGGATTGATTTTAAATCACAGCAAAAAAAAAAAAAAAAAAAACTGAACAAAACTACAAGAAATGCCCTTCTGCTAGTTATGTATCTTTTCCTTCATAAAGTGAGAATCAAAACATTATGGAGACTATCTTTCTGTAAAGTTTTGACTTCTAAGAGCATGTTAATATTCTACATATTCAAAAAATAAAACAGACTTAATGGGAACAGGGGGAGAGACCTATAATTGAAAGCAAATTAAAACAAGTGAACCTAATTTATTTCAGATGAATGAAGGAAAAGGAAAAGGTAAAAGAAAAGGAAGAAAAGAACTAATCCAAGTAATTAGGAAAACATTATCTTACTTTTGTGTCCTCAGTCATGGGCAAGGAACAAAGAATTACCCAAAAATCTCCAACTCTTCTCACTAGGTTTATCATAGTAGTGGAGGTGAAGCAATTCTGAAATTATTTTTAAATGCAGTAGAGGACTACGCAAATGAGTGTGTTGGTATTTTGTTGGGAATCAGGGTTCTCCCTGAAGAAGAAGGGGCATACAAGCACAGAATGCAGGAAGCAAAAATGGACTCTGTGGGGGTGAGCTGAAATTCAAAGTATTAGTGTGTATTCATGACATGTACATTTGTGTATGTGTGTGTACACATACTCCTTATTTGGGAGCTCTGGTGGCATAGTGCTTAAGGCATCTGACTGCTAACCAGAGGCTGGCGGTTCAAACCCACCAGCCACTCCTTGGAAGGAAGACCGAGCAATCTACTTCCGTAGTGATACTGCCTTAGAAACCCAAGGAGGGGTTGCTATGAGTTGGATCTGAATCCACAGCAGTGAGGTTTTTTTTTTTTTTGTGTGTAGGCTGCGTTCTATCTTCAGCTCTAGTTGCTCACCACCCATCAGGTGTCCTGGGTGCATCTTGGGAAAGCAGGGTGGGCCCCCCTTCCCTACCACTATGGAGCCTGTGGGGGTTGGGACTGGTGGCGGTCAGGTAAAACCTGCCATTGGCCATTGCACACCTTAGGTGGAGACCCTATTCATCCTCCACCCGCTGCCTCTGTCTACCTGCCCTGAGTGGGAACGCCGCTCATCTTTGCTCTATCTTGGCCCTGCAGTCCTGCATAGTCCTCTTCCTTTTCTACCGACCCAGCACCTTCATGCCCTTGCCTGGTCACCCTGTGCTGACTCAAGATTTTGTGTCATTCCACTGTCACCCTGAGATGCTGAGGAGGAACGAGAGAAGGCATCTTGAGGGTGGTCAGCTGTGGTCCCTTGTGTGGCCCAGTCCTTGTTGGGGCATCTGGTATATCATTTGGAGTAAGCTATGAAGGGCACCCTGGGCCCACCTGTGGCCCTACATGGGGCCTAAACTACCAGAGGCGTCACCTGAGAACTTTCTCAAAGTTGTCATAAATGTGAAATGTCAGATAACAAGACAGTCAATAAGCGAGGAGTAGGTGTATGCATGTATGCCTTTCCCAGCTTTGTCTTCTGTAAAGGCTCTGTAGCAATGAGCACACCTACCATATATATATATATAGGTGTCTAATCCTATTCCCCACTAAAAGGAACTGAGTTTCTTGGGGAAACAGGTGATAAAATGGTTGGGACAGGATAAGAGTACAGAATACTTTGTTAATACCATAAAGTAAAGAAGTGCTCAAAAAATGATGGGGGATAAACTGATGGCAGCTTGTCACAAGGATACAGAAGCCTCATTTGAAGGAGTGTTCACTAGCCATATCTGGGACAAAATGAACAAAAAAATATTGAGTACAGTAATGAAATACAAACAATGAAAAAACATGAAACTCTTGAGTATATACTGATAAATCATAGAAAAATAAAGTTAGAAAAGCAGGGGCTCTAAATGTGGAGGGAGTGCTGGAATTGAAATGTTATCTTTTGGCAACCATAATGGTAAAGAATGGATCAGGCAAAAATCATTGAAGGGGAAAATCTGAGGGAAATTTTGTCTTCAAGTTGTTTTTCCACAGATTTTTCATTAGTTGCAAGAGAGAAAGAAAACCTCACTAACTACACAGTGGAGAAATGGAGAAACACCTTGACTGGGTGACCAAAATGAATGTCCCCATAGAATCAGATGGGCACCAAATGCCTTTAGATGATATCATGAGGACTCATAGCTTGTGGAGGGTCTAAGAATGCACAACCTCAATCTGATCATGAGGAAAGAGCTAACAAACTCAAAATGAGAAGCACTGTATTCTTCTAAAATGTCAAAGTTATTCATAAAAGAAAAAAAAAAAAAAAAGCAAAAAAAGCGGCTTTGGAAATACTCCAAATTAAAAAGGAGAGTAAGGTGCTCCTTGGTGGCACAAATTGCTAAGTATTCAACAGTAGGTGAAAGGTTGGTGGTTTGAACCCATCCAGTGGCACCTTGGAAAACAGGCCTTGAAATCTGCTTCCGAAAGGTCAAAGCCTTGATAATCCTATGGAGTTCTACTCTGGACACATGGGGTTGCCATGAGTAGGAATCAACTCGGCAGCAAATAACAACATGGAGGTCTTACTTATCTTCATGCTTCATAATTAGCAAGGTATCTGATACACAGTAAATGTGCAATAAATATTTTGTGTGTGTAGGAGGGAAGAAGACTAAAAGGCATGAAACTAAATGCAGTATCTAACACTAGACTGGACACTACTACAGAGGGAATATGCTTTAAAGGGCTTTATTAGGTAATTTGACAAAACTGGAATATGAGTGATAGATTATTGTATTACTGTACATTTATAAATTTAATAATTGTACTATATTTATATAAAAGAATATTTTATTCCTAGGAAATACACAATGAAGTATATAGGAAAAAAAGCATAGTAAAAATTGTGTGTATATGCATAAATATATACCCAGAGGTATAATATTTACATTTTTTCTAAGTTTATAAATTTGAAATTATTTTCAAATAAAGGGATTTTTTTTTTAAAGATGATTGGTAAATGTGAAATTGTTGAGTGTTCCCTAGATTTAGGGGGCATTATAATGGAGGTAAGATACTAAAATACTATCAAAGCACTTCCTAATTTCCAAACTAATATTTATGGAGTATCCACAACATGTGAGGTGCCATGACAAGGCCTCATTAATCTCAGAATGTTGAAAGTAATTAATCTCAAGATAGAGATAGGTTTTAATTAAAACTGCTCAACCAAATTACACATATATTAAAGCTTCAGTACACCCAATTTTAAAAGGTTCCTAATTAACCTAAACTACATGTAAAAATGGAAACTAATGACTTGTCATCTTCCTCTACCAAGATGTATTATTTCTTACCTTTGGTGAAAATTTAGCTGTAAGTATTTCCAATTAAAAAAAAAAAAAAAAACCAAAACCCTAAAATTAGTCCTTTTAGTGTTATTTCCTCCTAACATACAGAAATATTAGATTGCTGGTGATTTGCCATTTATGAAATCCAATATTAATAAAAACATTTGGAAGTTATCTCCTTACAGAATTTATTTTTAAAAAATGCTCCACAGACTGTTTTGTCACTATGGATAGGCTCTTGGAGTTAGGCTTGATAGAGCAATCAAAGAGGCTAGATTTTAACCCTAACAAGATCCTAATAAGAGAAAAGTACAAAGTAAAACCAATTCACATTACATTCTTGATTTCATATCTACTTCTGTCTCGGCACATACTATGACATAAGTATGTTATGACAATGAAGACTGCTACTACCTAGTTTTGTGACCTTAGTCAAGTCCCTTAACTCTCTTGGTTTTTCTCAGCTGTGCAATGAAAGGGTTGAGTAAAATGATCTCTAAAGACTCTTTCAGGAGCTCTGGTAGCGTAGTGCCTAAGGCATTTGACTGCTAAGAAGGTTGGCAGTTCAAACCCACCAGCCACTCTTTGGAAGGAAGATGGGGCAATCTACTTCTGTAGTGATACCGCCTCAGAAACCCCAGGAGGGGTCGCTATGAGTTGGATCCAACTAGATGGCAGTGAGTTTAGTTTTTTTTTTTTTTAAATTTTATTTTGATTTGGGTGAAAATTTACAGAGTAAATTCACTTTTCATATAGCAGTTCACATATACTTTGTCTCATGTCATTGACCAAAATTTACAATGCAACAGCTCCCCTCCCACTTCCTCCCTATAGTTACCTCTTCCCAGTGTCCATCCCTCCATACTCTTCTGCGCCCTGAGCTGTGTCCCTGTGCATGAGCAGCCCTTCCTTCTCCCATGATTGTTCTCTCCAGGGTGTGTGTCTACTTGAGCTAAATGTTTAACTCACTTGCCTGTTCTTTGTTTGGCTGGAAACCACAGGTGTGGGTTCAATTCCAGACCTGAAGGG